TTATAACTACAATTTAACATCATCATCATGATTATCAAACGCCTTCATTTTTGCAGCTCAAGATTTCAGATGATTATTTCGACAACATCGTAGCAGAAAATTACTTGATGAGMATGCAACGAATYAATTTATATGGAAAACCAAACAAAAGAAACTCGTAAGTTATTTTCTAGAATCTGGAAGATAATCTATAATTTTTTTTCCCGTTCTTCGAAAATTGACCCTAAAAGGTACGGAGTYAGCTCAGRACCCTAAAAGGTACGCGAGGGTTTTATTTTGGACTCTAAAAAGGTCCGTCGAGCATACCTACCAACTTTTCAAGACCATACTTACCAGCCGCCATATTGKATTTAAATGTTACGGCCGCCATCTTTGATGAAATTGTTGCGTTCGCCATCTTGGATTACATATGYAAGAAACGAACACTGTCAGCAAGAAATTTACAAACTTTACAATTATTTCTGTATTATTAATTTAAAAAATTTGTTGTAAAGSCATCATCTCCATAGATTAAATTGTATTGACATTACTGAAGGATTTATGTTGGGGATATCATTGTTAAACTTTCGTACGAATCAATGACCCTTGTTGATCTTTTTTTTATCCTTTTGGTTCATCTTTTTTTTTTCGTGAAAATTGATCTTTATTTTGGTTTTAGATGGACTGATGTATTAGCCCCGTTTATGTGCGATGCATTTTATGTTCCAATTAAAAACTCGATGAGTAAGTAAAAGTATTTTCTCCTATTTTATTTATTTTTGATTSTAGGTGGAATGAAAATTTGTCGCCTTTCATAACTAATGCATTTTATAACGCGCAGAAAAATKCGATGAGTAAGTAGATCCAGGAGTTKTATGATGGTTTTTCRTTCGTTTTGTCCCATTTTCCATTSAAAATTTGGARTTTTAATTTCATTGTTATCTTATTTTTAGCCTATCTCGCTGGAATGATACAACCACCATTTTACAGTCCTGAGTTCCCAAAGTACGTTTCATAAATTATGTCATGTAATATACAACTTACGATTTCAGATCTTATATTGCGTGATATTTTAATTGACTCCCTGGTTTTCCTTCTTGAAATTTCTCATAAAGAAATTACTATAATTGTTTTGTTAGATACATGCAGTACGGGGCAATAGGAATGGTGATTGGACACGAGCTAACTCACGGGTTTGATTCATCAGGTACTTGCGGTCGAATATAGTTTTATGCCCTGTGTGGTCTTAAACTGAATTTTGGGTTTCCTGCGATAAATTTGCTGGGTTTTTTTGCTCGCTTTTTATAGCACATCACACTTGATTCATCAGGTACTTGCTGCCGAATATAATTTTATGGCCTGCGTGGTCTTAAACTAAATTTTGGGTTTCCTGCGATAAATTTGCTGGGTTTTTTTGCTCGCTTTTTATAGCACATCACACTTGATTCATCAGGTACTTGCTGCCGAATATAGTTTTATGGCCTATGTGGTCTTAAACTGGACTTTGGGTTTCCTGCGATAAATTTGCTGGGGTTTTTTGCTCGCTTTTTATAGCACATACACTTGATTCATCAGGTACTTGCTGCCGAATATAGTTTTATGGCCTATGTGGTCTTAAACTGGA